GTAAAAATATAGACAAAACCACTTACAACCTGATTCACATGTTACACCGGCCCCACCTAGGTGGGATAAGGGCGGGATGATGATAAATATAAAATATTTTCGGACACATTTTTTACACAACGTACTCTAGTCCCAAACTAAGTAACGCTTGTACTATGGGTACTAGAACACTGATAAACTTAATTAAACATACTTTTCTTTTGTAGATAAATTCATATTATACATATATGAACACCCAGACACTGGAAAAACACGATGTTCACACAATATTTTTCCAGTAGTGGGGATCGAACCCACACCCTCTGGCACAGGAGGCAGGGTCACTACTCCCCACGCCAATCGGGTCGTCGGGATGATGATGATGAAGATTATCTAAAATAACAGCTAGTTTTTAAACGGCGTTTGATTCTTTACTTCACGATCTAAAGACGTTTTGCGTTATGTGTCAACGAAAGAATTTTACTTTGTAAATAGTGTCTTTATAAAGAATCCCGTCTCGAACTTAGATTTCGTTGTAAGATAAAAGTCAACTTATGGTTAAATCATATTATACCATTACGGAATATCTCGACGACGACAATGTGTGGAGTTAATACTGTTGATACGTAGGCATTATATAACTATTATACCTGTATGTTATATAGTAAAATTATACTTTTGAATAAAATCAACTGTTGAGTTTCTTGCCGGTCTCTCGACAGACACTGCTCTCCGAACCGGTGGTACCTTACGAACCTGTATATATAATTTTTTATGTAAAATTTGACGATTCACACAATGTATATTTGAAATTTCTTTTTGTTATATTTCGAAAATATGCAGGTTTCCTCAAGATGTTTTCCTTCAGCGCCGAGCAAGTGATAAATGGAATCGTGCCGGCACCGGGAATCGAACTTGGGTTGCTCGAGTATATTCAATTATACTTATACCCCATCGTGATGCCAATGAACCAGTCAGTTCAAGGTCCATTCGCTGAAATCGCGAGGGTTATTACACCGGTAAGTTACCCCACTTATCTTGGGAAGGCATCGTGTAAAAAACCCAGTAGACAAAACCGATAACGCAGCACTATATATCACTATCACTCGGCAAATATGTCAATCAAAGTCGGCCCTGAGTCTTCGCCAAACATCGTCTTAAAGTCTTAGTTACTTTGGTTATTTCTATGTGAGTGACAACGGGCGGTTGAAGTGATAAACAGTGATTAACATGGGCACCTGGGAGGAAGCCGTAATTATAATACGCCGAGGTTCAGGCTAGGCGCCCCGTGCGCCAGGCCACCTCAAGCCCGTCGGAACTGTGAAGGCCCCTAAGGCCAACAGTGGCTCATCCAGCCCAACAAAAAAAATGGGTGGAAGAGTTGGGTCTGCCTCGGACTCATCCACAATGACCCTGTGATAGGTCCCGATTTACCCTTTGGGTACGGAACCCTAATATTGCGAAGTTACTTCAAGTTGGCCATCCGCAGTGGTGTCGCGTGGTGGAATTTGCCCCCACACCCTCTGTACAAAGGCGTTCTTTGCCCAGCGGTGAGATTTGCATAAGCTTTATATATTATATTATTTTTTAATTTATTTTGAACAATAAAATAATTACGGTGAAATATGTTTCACACGTTTGTTTTACATTACACGAGTTGGTAGTTGCAAACATTTAAAACCTCTTGAAAGATATTTCTATACAAATATACTGGACAAGTGAACATGAGGACAAAGCAATATTAAGTGCAGTTATCGCATTAACAACTGGCGTCACCGGAGGGACAATAAGAGTGTATTTCAAATTAAAAGCATTACACTCACATATTAAATGTCAAAATACTACTTCCGGTTTGGAGAAATAAGCTACTGATCTGAGAAGAACCAGCGAAAGAATCTCAGCGTATATAATATTATAAATAAATTAAAAATGTGTTAAAGTCCACATGAAAGAGCCTGGAGCGATGAATTCATTTGTATACACAAGTTAGTGTGTTACAAGACTTATAAGAGTTTCGAAGATGAGGTCTGCTATAACGCAGTACGGTTGTGTGATGGACTGTGGCTGATTCCCTCTGTAAAGATAAGTGGGCCCCGGCTACCTCACCCACCAGACAAAACGCAGAAGTAAAACACTTCCACTACGCGCCGGTCTTCCATGAGGTCGTAGTAATTACCCGGACGGGTCTGCCCATTCATGCAACACCGGAGACTATTGCGGGGCACACCACGTTTCAAGTGGTGTTTTTTGGTTGTTTGTAACGGAGATTTTAAGCCTCATCATCTTACTACCCTTACCCCACCTAGGTGGGGTCCGCATAACATCTGAGTCGTTTCGTCGTCATGCTCTAAGTCGGTTTAGCTAGGTTCTTTACCGGCCGCCTGCCTGACGTCAACCTTCCTTGGAAACAAACACAATAAATTACTTGAGTACCACACAAATAGTTGTCCCGTTTGGGAATCGAACCCACAACCCCGGTTCCGAAGCTAATAGTTTAACGACTGCGCCACCATGTGGATTATCTGGGATTTTAATACATCTTCGCAAACGGAATAGTTCAACGCTAGCGAATTTATTTTAATAACGCTTAAATTATTTCTCAATACCATACATTAGCTATTTTTTTAAGAAATCGGTAATTGACGTATCTGATTATGACCGTTAACAGCCTGTCTGTAACGGAAAATATGAATATTGTTGAGTCCAATCGAGATCCAGATGAAAAATCACTTCTTGTTTGACCAAAAACGAATTTACCCAGTTTAGATTCGATAATGGTAGTTGAACTATCTCAACGATTATTAAGATAAAACTTGATTATGAACGCACAATAAGTACCAACGTTGGCATATCGAAAGTCCTTGCTCCTAATTTCAACCCATGTACTCTAATCTTAAGGTCGTCATTAGCATACAATAGCGTAACGTTTTTATCCAGTTTCGCCACGACACGAATCTTTGAGGGGAATTAACGATAATACTATTAAAGGATCACGCTTAAAGATATAACCAAAGCCATAAGTGCAAAATTTACTTCACAGTCCATTTAATCGGTTCTCGAAGTTGGGAAAAAATAACTCGAATGAGAATCAATTTGAAAGTTAATCGTTTCCTGTTTCCTTTACATACTATTAAGTTTTTATTATCTGTGAATATACAAATAATCAGATGAGCGATTCGGCCGGCCTTTGAAAACGATTACTTTCAGAACGTGATTAAGTTAAAATTGTAATATTCAATATTACAATTTTAAAGCAATATTTTTCATGAATATAATTGTTGGAAATATATTTTCACATGAGTTCTCATTTCTAATTATTATTTCGCTGAATGTTTAATAGGCTTGCTACGAACTATACGTCCTTCGAGCCGACTTCAAAAACGGAGGAGCTTATCAATTCGTCTGTCTTTTTTATGTTTGTTACCTCAGAACTTCGGACTAAGTGAGCCGATTTTGATGATTCTTATTTTATTTGAAAGCTGGCGCTTCCCATGTGGTCCCACATTAATTTCATCGGTATTGGATCTTGGGCTCCGATGATACTTACGGAGCTCCTGAAAATCAATTATAAAATGAATACAGAGCGAGATGTTTGAAGTCGGTTTTGTTTTCCGTTAATAAAAAAAATGTTATTTTATTAGACCTATAATTATTTGCTCTTTACGGATGGGTCCAAAGACGGTGACTATATTGGAAGTGCTTTCTATGACGAAGGAATGAACTACTCTTCCAAATTTCGCATTACTTCTAACACCTAAATTATGCACGTAGAATTGACTGCTATTGCCGAGGCTTTGTCGTATATAGAATCCCTTAAATTTGACAAATATGTAATCTCCACAGATTCAAAGGGCTCAATCCAACATTTGGCTCGATGTACCTCGACTAAAGTCTCAACTAAAGACAGTTATCATTCAATGGATCCCATCTCATATAGTACACCTACATGAGATGGGATAAATTCCTCCTTTAAATGATAAAGTTTTCCACACAGCACGGATGGTTGTTTAGAAATAACCTTCATACGTGTTTATTACATTTGCTTTTGTGCTAGCGAACAATTAAAACTTATTGTTGCCAAAGGCTGTATCGGAGAAGTAACGAAGCACGCCAGTTATGCTAAGAAACATGAATAATGTGGTGTCCTTCGTTGATTTGCATGGCACACGCTGGCAACAATGCCATTGTCTGATTCGTGTATATTAAAAAACACGCCTCACCATAACCGGTTAATGTTCCATAAACAAGCAAATGATAAGAGTATGTCGCTTTAAAACTAAAAAATTTGAAATTACCATTAATAGCAACGATAAAAAAAAACAAAATAAGCCACGAACAGCTTGTATGATAGTGAAAAATTTGACGGTAATATCGTGTTTAATTTTGATTTATAAATTTATGTAATAATAATAAATATTTTTAGGACACGTTTTACACAACGTTCTCTAGTCCCAAACTAAGCAACGCTTGTACCATGGGCTAGATAACTGATAAACATACTTAAACATACTTTTCCTTTGTAAATAAATACGTATTACACATATATAAACACCCAGACACTAGAAAAACACAATGTTCATCACACAATATTTTTCCAGTAGTTGGAATCGAACCCACACCCTCTGGCGCAGGAGGCAGGTACACTACCCACTACGCCATTTGGTTCGGTTGATAATCTTCTGTCCTAGTTGGGTTCGGTATGTGAAGTGAACCATGATGTTAATGGTATATAATCCGTGGATCACAAAAATACCTCTCTCGTGTGAGAATCGAAGCCACTAGTGGGTCAGCAATTAACTGCGCCTATACCACATATATATATATATATATGTGGTACTCGAGATAACGGATAATTTGGTACAGTAAATACACGAAAAGTATTTGACACTTAACTATTGATTTGTTTCGTTATATATAATAACTTGTATTAAGTACATGATATTTTAAAACTCATCTTTTGTTTACAGATAAAACACTCGGAAGGCGTACTACATCTCTCTGTTAGGATGTGAACATTAAAAATGCTGCTAAACATCTGCAAGTCATGCCAGTAGTGAGTATGCAATATTTTTTGTGGCGTGTGATGAGTCTTGCTCGGCGTTAGATGATTCATTTTATTAAGATTTTCTGATAAGTCTTTTCAGGTGCAAAGGTGGCGTTTCACCTGATGGTAAGTGACATCCGCCGCCCATGGATATTTGCAACAACCGCAGAAAGTGGACCCCGATTACCCCACTAACCAGACGAAACGCAGAAGTATACAATATAATACTTCCACCACACACCAGTCTTCTGTGAAGTCGAGGTACTTCCCCCGACGGACCTGCCCATTCGTGCAACAGTGAAAATTATGGCATGGCTCTACCACACATATAGATAAAATATATAAACTTCGTCTCGAGCTATAACGGTAGTAGACGAAGTTTATATTTAGGTATATATGGTTATTATGGTTAAATTTTAGGTATTTTATGGTAAATTTATTGAAATTTACATGTAGATACATATTTTGTGGGCCACCTTTTCACGACATATTGTCTTTCATTCTCTTAAGTGAGATCTAATGTAATGACATTTATGTGTTACATATGTAGCACATAAACGTCATTAATTCTAATTAAATACTGCTCTTTATTACCTGCAATGCATATATTATGTACAGTTTAAAAATATTTTAAATGGCGTATACGGAATACGCCATCTAAAATGTCACCGCCCAGCTACATCACTGTCAAGATGGCATTCCGCAAACTAAGTCTAGCGTTTTCGATCACGATAGCAATAAAAAACGTCGAGATAAAGGCGGGAAGAAGCGAAGTCATTTATCGCTTCAGTATTCCCTACATTGTTATGTCATGTGTACATAATATTAGGGGTTTTTAACTTTTTAAACAGATTACTTTTTAATATTATATTTATAGTTAAACGTCTTGGGATTTGTCCATACAGAATATTCATTAATTGTTATACCGCCATTTTTCTTTCCTAACCTTAATGTTTTTGCTGATAGCTTTTTTTGAGGGAACTAGAGTGTGGAACAATGTGACATGTGCTTCGTTCAAAATGTTCTTTTTGCTCCAGTCAGTGTAGACTTCAAGTGTGAACACATATCCGTGAGACTTAATGTCAAAAGTTTTACTATACATATATTTTCCATATTTGATTGACTTTATTTATAATCAACAGTTGATGGAGTCGGTGTGTTCATATTTTTTATTACCTATGAAATACACATTTTATTTTCGGAAAAATGTGAGTATATCAGATATCTACAGTTTACTTGCATCGTACTACTGAATACCATAAACTCCATCCTACACCAAATAAATTTCCAAAGACAAAATTGCAAGCAGTGTCACTTCATACGTGGCATAATGGCATTCCATTAATGCCAAATATTTATCCTTATTAATAATCTCGTCATTCGTCGTTCTTTATTAATAATCTAGATAAAATAAGTACGCTTTTACAGCAAAATGCGCAAAAGCTGCCTATTAACAGGCTTAAGAAATTTATTAAAGGGTTATTATAATACAAATGGATACATTAATGACAATAACCCCTGGGAATGAGTTGAACGCTCCCAAGCTATTTCTAAAAGGAAAAAAATCAGTTCTACAATATTTTAATTTTTTTAAGGAATAAAAAATGAATTATAAAAAAGAGGATACCTACGGAGTTTCTTCTCTGCTAGAGGAACCTCATTACGAAACGGTGGTAGATAAAAAAAAATATATGACTATCGATAGATGAAATGTAAGTCGATGAATAAATGGTTTTGATTTTTTTTTTCCTACTATGGCTCCACTGATACGTAATGATTTTGATTTTGATTTTGATGGCGAAAAATTTACCTAAACGCCAGCATACCTAGTTATGGATGTTATGTGTATATTATGGATATATGTATATATTATATATTAGGGTATAAACAGTTTTAGTCTCGGATTGATTTTACGGAGAAATACGAGTAATATTATCTCGTTTGGCAATTTTTCACATAAGAAGAAAGTATCGATTCGGCAGTAGTATAAGAAGGCAATGATGTTTAATAATATAGATGATGCATGGCCATACTGCGTATGCAACATAAAAATTGTTCCGCTTTACGTTATATAACATATATAATCTGACAGATGTAATAGAACGTATTAATAATGTATTGTGTTAATATACGGAAAGAAATAGCAATCTAAAGAATAGCAATCTAATTACACCAATTGTAATGTAAATAAGTTTTGTATGTATTCATTTGTTTTTAGACCGTGAATAAACTTTCTTCTTCTTCTTCTTCTTCAATTGGTGTGCCTCTTGATGCGCTAGTGTCATATCTTTGTATATAAAATCATTGCATTGATTGTTCCTCGTCAACTAATATCTGCCATTGTTAAAAGTACCTATGCATTATGATCTCCCGGGCTAAAAAAATTACTCTAAGAAATCCGTTAATGCTTAATCTATATCTAATCTAATCTGAAACTGATATAAGAATGTGTAAATTTGTCTGCAAGTGTTTATTTCGTCACCTCGCCGCGACGGTTTTGCGGATTATGATAAAATTTAAAGTAAGGATAAATTTATGAGCCGATGCGCCGTGATAGCTCAGTGTCCGGGCGCTCGCCTTTAATTACATTTACTCGAGCAAGCTGAGTTCGATCCCCGGTGCCAGCACCAATGAAATTGTTAATTTTAAGTGCTGAATTATTATCACGGGCTCGACGGTGAAGGAAAACACCGTGAGGAAACCTGCATATTTTCGAAAAAAATGTTTCGAAAATATGTGAAGTCCGCCAATCCGTAGTGGGGCCGTGTGGCCGGTGGACTATGCTCTGATACCCTTTGTACAGAAGAGGCCTTTTACTTTACTTTTATTTTAACTCTATCCGAAAGAAAATATAATCATCAAACAATTTATATTCCGTAATTTCATTATTGCAATAAAACACGCGGTGGAATCAGCGACTTAAAGCCAGTATGGTAAATGTAAACCCAATAAATCTCTTTTTGACCTCTGCAGTAATATCTTGGTTATAGGAGAGAACATTAATAGCGTGGTAAATCAAGAACTGTTCTTGCTTTATGATCGCATGTCACAATTTAGGATTATCTCGTGTCATGGCAGAAGTTCAGGTTGATTTTCCGGCGCACAAGTAGGAGGTGTCTCGATTTGTGGGGTGACAGAAATCATGGCTGAGTTATTGCTTGGACTGCCTCATGTGATGACATAGTAGACATTAGAGCTGTCTCATTATAGACGAAGATGAAGGTAAGGCGGTTTCAGGGCCATGCGAGCTTTGGCTGTTGCACGAATGGGCAGGCCCGTCCGGGGAAGTACCACGGCAATTGGAAGTATTTGAAAATCAAATCAAAATCAAAAATATATTTATTCAAATAGACGCTTGCGCGCTCTTATGAATCGTCAAATTTTACATCAAAGATTATGTGTATAGGTTCGTAAGGTACCACCGGTTCGGAAAGCAGTTTCTGTTGAGAAGAGACCGGCAAGAAACTCAACAGTTGCTCTTTTTCAAAAATATCAGGGTACAATATAATATACAGGTATAATAGTCTTATTCTAGCCTACGTGAGTATCAACAGTATTAACTCCACACATTGGCGTCGTCGAGATATTCCGAAATGGTATAATATGCTTTAATCATCAGTTGATTTTTAATTTTACATTTAAATTAATCAAGTGGCAGACTTAATATCGACTGTGGGATTTTATTATACATGCGCACACTTTGCCCCATGAACGACTTATTTACTTTTTGTAGACGAAACAATGGCGTAGTAAGTTTGTCCTTATTTCTAGTGTTTATTTTATGTCTGTCACTATTCTTTAGGTAATAATTAAGGTTATGACGTATATACAAAACATTACAATAAATGTATTGACAAGCAACAGTGAGTATATTAACCTCTTTGAAAAGATGTCTGAGTGAATTCCGGGCTCCGATATTGTAGATTTACTGTCGCGCCTGGTCTTGTGAGTGCGACAATTTGGTCCACTGTTTGTAGGTTAGCAACGCGTTTGCATCTCGTCAGGTGTTGACAAGTCCATGGGCGACGTTACTTACTTATCATCAGGTGAACTGCCAGCGCACTTGCTAACTTTTACATACAGGTGGCTTTTCTAAAGGTATCTCTTTCTTAAAAGGCCGGCAACGCATTTGTGAGCCCTCGGGTGTTGCAGGTGTTCATGGGCGGCGGTAGTCACTTACCATCAGGTGAGCCTCCTGCTCGTTTCTCCATAAAAAAAATCCAAATTCTCACAGGAGGTTCAGACTCAGTAGTATAATCGTTTATTGAAATAAAAACAATCTTTTTTTTTTCAAAAAATTGCCATCCTATTCCCTAAAAACAGAACTTGTTGACAATGCGGTAGTCATTCATAAATGCGTCATATTCTTTGGAAAGGAACTTTTGTGTGTGTTAGTTATGAATTATCGCACATAAAATAAATGAGTTGCCCATAAATCACACACATTTTGAGATAACTTCAAATGAATGTAATTAATTAATTACGAGTGATTTTAAATATTTATCATTTTTTATATAACACTGTTTATGTCTAGAATTTTATAAAAAAATGGATACACTTAAAAAAGCCTCCCTGTATAAAAAATGTGTCCTCTCTTTGCATAACTTTAGTGCGGTTGTCTCGCATGTTACTGTGTCAAACATGGGGCACGCTGGTGATGACAGAACAAAACTAAAATTCATTGGTAACTGCAAACGGCTATGGATGTCAAGGCGACCCTTTAATTGCTATTAAAGTAGTACGTCCGCCCAACTGTCACAATCATTGATATTATAAACAAATAAGAAGTAGTAACAAATAACACTAGTGCACCGAAACTGAGCAGACACGCCAATTGCTGATTAGATTGCAATTCTATATAACGCTATCTCTTTCCGTATTTCATTTTCCATATCATTACACTCACTTATAGGTGTCATACTAGCTGCTGCCCGCGACTCCGTCAACGTTGAATAGCCTGAAAGTGTAACATTCGGACAGAAAGCCAGATATACATAAAATATGTATATAAATTATAGCCCATGTGTTATTCTGATGCAAAGCTATGTTATTGTAAAGTTTCATTAAAATCCATTCAGTAGTATTTGCGTGAAAGAGTAACAAACATCCATCCATACATACAAACTTTCGCGTTTATAATATTAGTAACACCGCGCATTATGGACATGCCTCATCTTTATTAAAATATCATTGCGCACCACAGCTGTTGGAACATGTCTCTTTATGATGTATAAGTGACACATGTCATTGATTGAATCGAATGAAACGATGAGTATGTGGATGAAAATAAAAGTGATGCAATGTATCGCATTAATAAGTGGAAAAAAAAACTAATATTTCATCTCATCCGAAGTCCTTGCGAGGATGACTGAATCGCTAACGCCGCTGTCCAGTAATTATTACTTATGGATTCAATTATAATAATGGATCCCCCTGCCACGGGATCGGGGTGTGGCAGGGATTTGTGGCAGTCCCGGTCGAAACGGGACCCTACTAAAAACCACCTGTTTGTCGCATCGGCCCAGACACGGGAACATGAAAACGCAATTTTCCAATGAAGAAAATTAAAGAAATAATCAGCAACTTTGAAACGGGAAACCATTTACGTATTCCACAGGGTTTCGAACCCGTAGCCATGAGTCTAGTCGACCTAGACTAGAGGCCATCACGTCTTTAATTACCTTAAAATTGTTCGAGACTCGAGACCAAGAGTAGCGGCCTCCCGACCCAATCATATTCGACGGTCAATCAACGATAGGTTCGTGCTGTTATTTTCAATCAGTCAATAACAGTTCCGTACTCTTATGAAAGCCATATATCAACGGTTCACAAATGCTTAACGTACCCAGATGAAAACCGCGAAGAAACTGGGTTGAATATCTATGTATTATTTTTCTTATGAAGATTTTAACGATGGTAATAATATGCGTTGCCAACTTTTAAAAACAAAAGACCCCGGCTTGGTTCACTCACCAAATGCAATACTTCCTTTTCACTGGTCTTCTGTGAGGTTGTGGTATTTTATTTCTATTCTGTGGTCATTTCTATAAAACTAACATCATGCAATCTAAGCACAAGAGCCTCCATCTCAGTTCTTTGGGTATTTTTGCAATCCTGGTCGCCCGTGGATTTTACAAAAGTACACGAATAACGTATGGAGTTCGTCCGTCCGTTTGATACATTAATAAGCAAAGTCCTTCAACATTCTTCTTTCCCCACAGCTGCCTGGAGACGATGTACTGGAACTGTTGCGAGGAGAGGTTCTGCTTCGACAAGAAGATCGCAACTTACACGTAAGCGACCACTTAATCTCTTACTAATCATTTTACGGGTAACATTAGACACAATTGACGTGGGCAATACAGGTAATCGTTGACTCGGTGCCGTGGCTCAGCTATTGGCTACTGCGTCGGGGGTCGTGGGTTCAATTCCCACGCGGGACAGGTGTTTGTGCGACCCACAGATAATCGTTCCGGATCTGGGTGTTTGTTTCCCACGGAGGGTTGACGTCAGGCAAGCGGTGGGTCGTAAAACATAGCCAAAAGCGCTTCCAACATGATTCACAGTTGTGCCGACCCAATCTACGTGGGATAAGATGATGACGATGAATACAAGTGTTTGTATGTACTATATGATCATTTTTCTTTATACGTTTCCACAGATTTGTTCGTGCTATTGTAGTGTTTTATGTGTGAAGGTGTTAAGCTGGCTGGCGATCCACCTGATGCTGTGTTGACCGCCGCTCATGGCCGTTTGCAACACCCGTAGTGTTAGCGTCGCCACCTTTTAATAAAGTGCGCCCCGGTTACCTCACATTTCCACTTCACGCCGATCCTCTGTGATCTGCGCATCCGTGCAACAGCGAAGACTGTTGCCTGGTCTGTTACAGTCAAAGTTAAGTTTGTATAACGTATCTACAACATAGGGTCAGCACATTTTTCAGTAGAGTTTAATAACGTCTTAAAAAATCCGGCTAAGCGCGAGTTGGACTCTCGCACGAAGGGTTCCGTACCATTATTTATAAAAACGGAACAAAATCATGTCTGTTGTATGGGAGTCACGCTTAATTTTTTTTTAATTGTATTTTAGTATTTGTTATAGCGGCAACACAAAAAATATATCATCTGTGAAAATTTCAATTGTCTAACTATCACGGTCCATGAGATACAGCCTGGCGACAGACGGACAGATAGACAGACAGACAGAAAGCGGAGTCTTAGGGTCCCGTTTGACCGTTTGGGTGCGGAACCCTAAAAAGGAAAAAGCACAGTCTGTAGCATTCTCACAAAGGAGCTTTGTGTTCGGACACAGACAATAATGTTTTATTTGATATTATTTTTTTTTCGTAAATATGCATTTTACGGTTGTCATTATTTATTAATACATATTACGGATATCCCCAAAAATTATATTGGTGTCATAAACTTTATAACACCCATTAAAATCGACGCTACGAGTTTTTGAATCACTGGCAACGTTAAAGATATGCAAGCCATGATAATTTACGATAAAATAATTATTTATAAAAACCCTTTTTACGTAATCGCATAACTCATTGAATGCATTAAATAATCTATTCATATCTTTAAATAATACTCTAAAGTTTTGTTAATCAGATATTGGAATTTTCCTTAACATTCTTGGTAATACGTACACTAGGTATTTTATATTGTTTCCTTATGCTTATTTGTTTGACGACCCGAATGGCGTAGTCGGTAGTGTGCCTGCCTTCTGCGCCAGAGGGTGTGGGTTCGATCCCCACTACTGGAAAAATATTGTGTGATGAGCACTATGCTCGTTTTTCTAGTGTCTGGGTGTTTATATATGTATAATGTGTATTTATTTACAAAAGAAAAGTATGTTTAAGTACGTCTATCAGTTTTCTAGTACCTATAGTACAAGCGTTCCTTAGTTTGGGACTAGAGAACGTTGTGTAAAAAAGAATGTGTCCTAAATATGTGTCCTAAAATATGTTTATACTCTGTCGTGGGCGTTTTTCGATTTAACATAAAAAAAAAGTTTTATTGTGGGCACGACCTCACAAAAGACCGGCGGGAAGTGTTAGGGCTATAATACTTCTGCGTTTCGTCTGGTCAGTGAGGTCAGCGAGGCCTACTTTCGTTCAAGTTTTGTTCTAATGTAGCAACAACTGATGATAAAGTTGTTATGCATTAGGTAGCGGAAACGTTTTTAGAATTTTCATATCTGTATTAATAAAAAAAACTAGACTGAGTTATGTTTGCAGGTCAGGTAAGTAAAGTGTTGAAAAAATATCCTTGATTTTCTTTGATTAAAAAAAATTTTACAGGAATTTGACTTTCACATATCATTTGACGTATCGATAAGATTGGATTATCTGAAAAATATTTTGTACAATCCATCAAACGCAAAGGAGCAAGGTAAGGAACGTTTGCGGAAGTACGGTCTCAGAAGACCATATAGAAGTGGAATTGTGATACTTTTAAAATTCGTCTGGAGAGTGAGATACTAGAGCACATTTTTTTTAGGGTTCCGTACCCAAAGCGTAAAACAGGACCCTATTACTAAGATTCCGCTGGTTATCAGTCTGTCCGTCTGTCACAAGGCTGTATTTCATAAACCGTGGTAGTTAGACAGTAGAATTTTTTTTTTCTTTAAAAAAAACATTGCCCTTACTTTAGGATAACATTATCCTGTGTTGTAGGGACGTTTAACAAACATAAATTTCACGCGGACAAACACCCAGATGCGAAACAACCGTCTGCGGGTCACACAAATAGTTGTCCCGTGTGGGAATCGAACCCACGACCCCCGACGCCGAAGCCAATACCTTGGCAACTGTGCCACGGAGTCATCATTTTTTTGCACAGATTGTTTATTTCTGTGAGCGTTATAACAACAAATACTAAAAAACTTTTATCTGATGAACCGGTTGCTCTCTTTCTACCTTCCGACATGAAAAATAATGTATCTGAACCTCTTTTCGCTCATTTTTATCCAATTATAATGATTTCCCACACAGGTGGAATAAAGCTTTAACATTCCTCAAGATCACACAATGTTTTAACGATCTCCTTGTCGAGGAATAACTTAAATATTTGTGTGAACGATAGATTGAAACAAAGAACGAAAGATTTAAAAAAAATCTAGCCAATACAAAATGATTCACATGTTGCGCCTACAATGTGGGATAAGGGCAGTACAAAAGAAGAATATTACATATAAATAAGTTTCTTCTAATTTAATTTAAAGAAAAAACCGCATAATTGCACTCATCATAAAACTTTAAATTCAAAATTTTTGTAGATAATTGAACAGAAACATCCGGCGCCGCGGGATTCGAACCTGCTACGTATGGTTTCGCGCCCAGACGCTTACCAACTAAGCTAAGTGGCCGATGACCGCACGGCGTGAAAATCGCGAAAATCTCGAATTTTAACAATGCTTAACGCCATCTAGTGTGCGTAAACAACATTCCCTCGTTACAATTGTTCATCGTTGAATTTTAATTTTCATTAGCTTAGTTGGTATACTGCCGAAAGTTTTTGTTCATTTATCTACAAAAATTTACAATTTAAATAATTCTAATTGATTTCGAAAAGGTTACATACATAAAATTTTTATTTTTTATTGCAAAGTGGCAAACGAACTGGTTGTTCACCGGATGCTAAGTGATAACGGCCGCCCATGGATATTTGCAACACCCGTAGTTTTGCAGAAACGTTGCCACATTGTAATAAAGTGGGCCCCTGCTACCTCACTCACCAGACGAAACGCGGAAGTGTAACACTTCCACTTCACGCCGGTCTTCTGTGAGGTCGTGGTACTTACACGGACGGACCTGCCCATTCGTGCAACAGCGGACACTGTAGCGTGGCCCTACCACAGGAAAATAGCACAATAATATTTATAGCACATTACCCCTACTATAGTACTAGGGAGACGAGGAACTTGCCACTTTAGGGTTAAAATGAAATATATATCTGTATAGGCCCTAGAACTAAAAGGTGTGAACGTTTATTTTCTTATTTTAGTACCTTTTATTTATACATTGTAATAGCAACAAGTATACTTTGTAGGGCAAGGTTTTGTCCGTTGCATGTCGGAAGTATACCTTGAGACATATCAACGTGTTAGCTATCTTATCGCATATACGAGGAGATTATTGTAATAACGACAGATAAATATCGATCAACGGAAATTTTCTATGAATGGGGTGGATATTAGAAAAGCTTGTGCTGCTATAAATGCTATAAATAAACCGTGCTTTTGACGGAAGTTAATTACGTGTAGACTAGCTATTAACCGCGGCTGCGTCCGCGTAACATTAACACCAGTTTATTAACACATATTTAAGTGTCACCTTAAGTGCGGACACTAGCACTAAGATTAAATACAATTTCTATTAATTAAATACAGATTCGATATTGACCGTTTAGCTTAGGAGTTATAGCGTCTGGAAAAAAGTCTTATCTTATTTCGGCTCTATACAGTGTGTCTTTACAATCGCGACAATAAATGACCACACATAGGGGATAACCTATTGGGGATAACTTTTTAAAATTGTATTAAACATTTACATTCTTTAAACATCAATATTTACAGAGTTATTAAATTTTCCAAAACAAAGAATTTTAGATCACCCTAACGTATAAAACTGTAACGTAAAGTTCATTTGTAAAGGTCACATAGCAATGAATGGGTTGAATGAATTTAAAAGAGACAAAACGTATGTTGAGATTATGTTTGTTGGTTTGGTTAGAATTGTTTATAGTGCTAATCTTTGCACTTAGAGGATTGTAGATGCGATGTGGGAATCGACGCTGTGGCGCGCCTGAGTTGTGATAGGATGATTTACAAATTTTGTTTACATTTTTTTACTTAATTAGTTTGTTTTTGTAAAATATTTTCTTAGATTATGGAGTTTGTTTAACGTTAAGATAGTAGTTATGTTTTTATTATGTTGATATTAACGTTAATATGTTTTTATGATTATTGGCAAGTAGCGTTAGACGTGTGTTCATTTATTGTCGCGATGGTAACGACACGCTGTATATCAATAGGTCTTCTCGTCTAAACCTATTTTTATTATCTGAAAAGTTGCCAAGCGAGTAGTTGGTTCACCTTAAGACATCTACAACACCTGAGGACTTGCAGATGCATTGGCGACCTTTTAAAAACCGGCCAAGTGCGAGTCGGACTCGCGCACGAAAGGTTCCGTACCGTTATCTAGAAAAATTGCAAAAAATCATGCCTATTGTAAGAGTGTGCTGTGAGAGCAGATAAATATTTTTTTAATCTGTATTTGCTATTATAACGGCAACGGAAATACATCATCTGTGAAATTTTCAACTGTCTAACTATCACGGTTCATGAGATAGTAAGACAGTTGTCATTGACACCCAGATGAAAAAGAACTATATCTGTAGATCGCACAAACAGTTCGGGAGTTATTTCTCACTAAAATACAACAATATGCTCACTTAGCTCATACCTCTAAACAAAGGTTATAATTTGCAAACATAACAATCAGAGTCTTATTACCGGTTCCAAGTGATTTTCCTTGTAATGCAATTAAATTGAAATATACAACTATTAACATTGATATTACCAGTTAATAATAAAACCGCACAAGCGCAAGTCGGACTCGCGCACTAAGGGTTCCGTACCATTAAACACGGCGAAAAAAATTCAGGTCTGTTGTATGTGAGCCCACTTATATATTTTTTATTCTGTTTTTTAGTATTTGTTGTTATAGCGAAAACAAATTATTGTTCTCGCATAGATGGATATCGTCTTCTAGGATCAGAATCTCTCTTGAAAATTCAAATCATAAAGGTTTTTATCCTTCTAACATTATGAGATTATGTTTGTTGGTTTGTCCTGATTGCTTTTACACTCCGCAACAGATATACCATAGATTATAATTGCCGTATAAGTGTCTTGTCATCCGCTAAACGGAAGAATAAGATAGTTTAGTTAGTCATCCGATTATCGGATCGTTAGATAACCTTTAATCGAGTTATCCTGCGATTCGATTGTTCGTCCATTTAGCGGACGACTAGCAATAGCCTTTTTAACGCCTGGATGCCGTGACTCCTCATAGCAGTTGTAAATCTCATGGCACTGTTTCGTATTTCTGTGTGCGTGAAGGCATTGTTTTACGCTCGCGCCAACTGTATTTGTGTGCATATTATGAGTTACTTATAAGTAACCGTTTACCATTAAAATGATTTTTTTTATTAACATTAGCTATTGGTAGTAACTGCCGTTATGTTTTAGCTTGGATGGCATCCGTAAATTAATGTTGTTGTTATAAGTATTAATGATGATTTTCAAAATTATTTGAATGTCACAAACACTTAAATGATGGGATATAATAAAATGAAATACGCCATACGATAGAAAAAGTTTTATTGGGTGGTTAAAATAAATATCATTATTATTATTAATGTCTTTTTTATAAAATATGCCGAACTAATACACGCCCTTACATTTGGTTTCCTTCACTATCTATCAATCATTTTGTAAACCTATTATATAAGATGCCACTTTAATAAAAGATGGCAACGCATCTGTAACCCTACGGGTGTTGCAAATGTCCACAGGCGGTTAACACTTAACATCAGGTGAACCGCTGGTGCACTTGCCGCTTTGAGGTGGGTAGACCCACTATCATTTCTGCTACGAACAATTATCATCATCACTACATAGTATAAAACAAAGTCGTCCCGCTGTCTGTCTGTCCCTATATATGCTTAGATCTTTAAAACTACGCAACGGATTTTGATGCGGTTTTCTTTAATAGATAGAGTGATTCCAGAGGAAGGTTTATATGTAATTTATGCATAATATAGTAGAGAAATATTGATAATTTTCGAGGCTTTTAATGCGATTTCGAAAAAAAAAAATATTCAACATTGCACCCGTGCGAAGCCAGGGTGGGTCGCCAGGTTTAAATAAATTCAAAATATGTGACTCATAAAAGTGGAAAGATATTTTATGAGTAGTTTTAGCAATATTTCACTGCACGGGGGATGTCATATTTTTTATCAGAGCCAAAAATATGTGTTTATTTAATGGTGTGCAAAACGTACTGACTGCGATTTTCTGCAATTCCTGTTTTTGAATCCTTGATGAGTGGAATAGGAACCACGCCTTATAATTAAAGACAAACCTTTTAATTAATATCTCTCTAATGGATCGTATATCCGATAGCGTAGATTCACGAGAGATAAAATATAAAAGTTTTTTTCCCAAAAACTGCATTATCCTTAGATTTATCTATCAGGAAGAAGAAACTCTGAGAAATTATATAATAACTAGCAGACCCGGCGAATGTCTTTTTGCCATATATTCCTAGGTTACTTGTGAATCCAATGAAGACATAGAAAAGAATTTTCGGAACGCACTCAACAAAAATGTTTGTATGGGAAAATAAAATTGTTTCTATTTCGATTTTCCATGCAATTTTTCCATAATTTATTTGGATACCCTAGAATGACACAAATATTTCAAAAGCAAAGTTAGCCAAATCGGTCCAGCCGTTCTCGAGTTTTAGTAAGTTAGTCGCACAAGTAGAACAGCAATTCAATAACAGAAGACCGGCGTAAAGTAGGTGTTACACTTCTGCGTTTCGTCTGGTGAGTGAGGTAGCTGGGGCTTTATTTATAGGTGGCAAATGTCCATGGGCGGCGGGTATCACTTAACATTGGGTGAGTCACCGGCTCGTTTGTCACTTGGTCACATAAAAAAAAATCATTTTATATATACCACAGACACTTCTTAATCAACTTCGGCTAAATTCACGCGAGGTAGTTCGCGTGTAAAACCTAGTTATGTAAATATATTATTGTAGCTACGGCATAAAGTTGTGTGTTATACATTTTTCCAGCGTGTTGTCATTTCGCGTTTCATACTTACGTAAGGCGATCGTTAATCATGTTCAACAGATTTCCAAACGGACACTTGTTAAATTCGCTACTTGCGCGCGAATATTTTACTCTATTTTATTGGTGTACGAGATAATTTATCTATGGACACTAACGCCATTGAATATAGTAGCATTATATTATGCCTTAGCTACAGAGGTTTCTTATATAATATGAATAAATAATAAACACAGTATGTAATGATTTTTATAATATCTTTTTTATATATAATTATAATTCTTCTGTACGTGTGTATGTCACTGAACTCCTCCTAAACAGCTGGACAGATTTAAATGAAATTTTTTGTGTTTCTTCAGATCGATTCGAGAATAGTTTAGATACACAATTCGTTGCTTTTCTCTCTTTTTTTTATTTAGAAGCTGTTGTCGGATTTAAGTAGTATGTACAGGACCTCTATAGTACTCTATATAACTGTGGTAGGGTCAAATAACAGTCTTCGCTGGTGGGTAGGTCCGTCCGGTGTGGTACCTCGGCTTCACGACTTCAAGACGAGGCACTCCACTGTGTGGCCTCAGTGTTCACATCGGATAAGAGGAGGTTAAACGGAGGTAACAAGATTGAGGAACTAAGTCTAAGCACCATTCTCCGTTGCAGATTGGAAGACAATGTCAGTAATGTATACGCGAACGGCGTCACAAATGCGGGCGCCAGCCTCGACAGCGTGGTCACCCAGCAGCCGCACAACAACAACCACCTGCCACCACCCTTGGTGGGGCGGGAGGTCAAGGAGTTGCCCATTCACGCGGATAAAATCTACGAGGTAACGACACTTTCTTTTGTTGAGTTGTCTTATTATGCGAGAAGGCGGCAAACGAGCTGGCGGTTCCTGGTGGTACGTGATGACCGCCCATGGGTGTCTGCAACACCCGAATGGTTGCAGATGCGTTGCCGACTTTGGGGGTCCCGCATAATAACACCACACACTCAGTTAGTGCATCAACAAACACCATTGCGCTTCCCCCTTCCTCGCCTTCGAGCACGGCGAAACCAACACAACGCGTACACTAGTAACACCCGCGGTTCAGGGCAGTTCTCACCGCCGTCAGCCACCGACTAATCAAGCTCAGTCAACAACCGCCGGGGTCACGGCCGCACCGGACCTCGATGGCCCGTAGGCGACATGCCATAATTAACGCACGCATGAGTACATGCGCGGCCCTACCCACTGAGGCCCTCAAACCCGTGGGTTCTGGCTAACCGGTTCTGCGTTCGATTAAGCTTTAATAGTCTAAGGACTGAAAGTGTTACATCAGTTATACAAAAAAAAAGATGCGTTGCCACCTTTTAGTAAAGTGGGCCCCGGCTGCCTCTTGCACCGGACGAAACACAGAATTATAACACTTCCATTTCACGCCAGTCTTCTGTGAGTACGTGTTAATTTCTCGGACAGACCTGCCCATTCGTGCAACATTGAAGTCTAGTGCGGCCCTACATATTTTGATTACAAACATTGCTATAAGTAGAGATTCAACTGTGGTAGGGCCACGCAGTAGCCTCGGCTGTTGCACGTAAGGACAGGCTCGTCCGGGTAAGTACCACGACCTCACAGAAGACCGGCGTAAAGTCGAAGTATAATACTTTCGCATTACCTCTGGTGAGTGAGGTGGCCGGAGCACATTTTTCAAAAGGTATATACGTATGCATGGGCGGCGGTATTCACTTAACATCTGGTGAACCGCCAGCTCGCTTGGCAACTTTTCACATAAAAAAAAGATGTGAAATTTGAATTATGGTCCTACACGTAGGCAAAACTACAGCGCTATCATACGCCTTATACGAAATTTAATAGCTTATCCCACTTGCAGTATCTTCTGTCTCCTTTTATTTAGAACCGGTATTACTTATCAATAAGCAAGGCGACTCTGTAAGGTTCTTTCATATACATATTAACATATAGATAAACATATTGACAGGAATAATACGTTAAATTATAATGAAAATGTTATAACTCTTATTCACTCTTATTTAGTTTGTGATTATTTCTTGATTGCGTTCTGGTAGTATGGCTAAACTTATATACCGCTTAAAAATCTACAATTTTATGAAAAGAAGAAGAATAGAAAAAGATCAAAACAGTTTCTTGTTGCTCCCTTTCTAGGCAGGTCTAAATTTGTGCTGGATATATAATTAGTGTTTGCGACTCAATCCCAAGTCGATTTGTAGAATAATTTAAAGTTAATTATTCTACATATCGACTACAACGTTTATTCCTTTCGCAGGTGTTCTCGAAGTCGTTGATATTCAGGGAGGAGCACGAGCTGAAATCTGGCGACAGCGTCAACACCTTGGACGAGATCGAGACCAAATCAGAGCCGGACTTGTCCGACAGACCCAACAGGACAAAAGTGTACTTCGAGGACGAAGTGGACTCGCCGGTGACTGACTTCGAGATAATGTTCAAGGACGAGCTGCTCGCCAGCTACGACATGTTCAAGATAGAGGAGGAGGAAGAGGACAGGAGGAGCCAGGACACCGAAGAAGGTCTCACCATGAGCGTCGCCGTGAGGAAGCAGGACGTGGTCAAGCCGAGCACGCTCACTTTGAAGGACGAGGCGAAGATGACCACGCCAAACTCGGTTTACGAGTACGACCCTATATCGGCGGTGCAGCTGCCGAACAGTCTCACCTTGCCGCGGGTGGAGAGCGTGAAGGGCATACTGAGGCAGAAGGGCGATATAAAGCGGAGCGACAGCGCCCGCACGCTAGAGAGGGCGGACAGCGGCAGCAGGCTGCTGAAATCCACCCTCACTAGAGTGGAGAGCTTGAAGAGCATCGACCCGCAGAAGATGAACAGGGTGCTGGCGCGGGTGCCGCACCGCAGCGCCTCCTTCCTCAACATTCCCGAGCGTCTGGCGCCCGAGAAGCCGCCGCTGATGAAGAGCAAATCCACAGTCGGCGTGACGTCACTGGCCGAGCGGGAACTCAAACTCGGCCAGCTGCCAGACACGCCGATAATCAGGAGCACCAACCTGCCGAGGTTCTTCGCCGACAGCCCGACTATGCCGGAATACAAGGGCGAGACGAGCCTGCAGAGCATCAAGCAGAAGACGGCGCTCATGTTCCAGGAGAACGACTTCAGCATGCCCCGCTACTACGGCTCCAGGGCGGAGCCCGTCCACGAGAGCCGGTCCATGCCCGACCTGCGGAGCCCCAACGCCAAGGTGAGCAAGCGGCTCGTCAAGATCAGGAGCAAGCTGAAGCCCCTGGTCATCAGGAAGAGCTCCGACGAAAGGTTGTGAAGCCTTTCCTAACATGAATTTCTCAATACAGACAGATACAAAAGTGCTGTAAGAGTAAATTGGTGTCGCAGACGCGTTGTTAACGATTGGGACTTAAGCCCTTCCTCACAAATGATAAGCGTATAGTGATCGTGACGTACATTAATTACACCTGTCGTTAATTTTTAATCTGTCATTTCGAATTTCAAGTGTATTTAAAAAAAATGGCGGTATAACTAATAATAATGAATAATGTAATCTGTCCGTACAAATTAAAGAGAAATCCCCAAGACGATAAACTATAATACTGTCATTTTAATTTATAAATAAACAACCTTGCATGATTGATTTTATTGATTCGATTAAGCCAATTGAAATTCGAAACGTAGATTAATTTGATCGTCTACTAATTTTACCTGTAAACATAACTCTGATTGAGATGAAAGTGTAACAAAAGTGGGATTAATTATGTAATTGTAAATTTGCCACGGTTGGATTAATTTTATCGATAAACTTTTAAAAATTTGAATTAAATTATTTTTTGTTATTAGAGTTCATACAAAAGCCCGTTTAGCGCATATTATGGAATTAATTTTGTAACCAGTGATTATAAAAAAAAAGTAAAGTAAAGTAACAGCCTATACATGTCCCACTGCTGGGCAAAGGCCTCCTCTATACAGAGGGTATCAGGGCATAGTCCACCACGCGGCCCCACTGCGGATTGGCGGACTTCACATATCTTCGAAATATTCTTTTTTGTTATTATTTTGAAAATATGCAGGTTTCCTCACGATGTTTTTTCTTCACCGCGGAGCACGTGATAAGACAGCACTTAAAGTTAAAAACTTCATTGGTGCCGGCACTGGGGGTCGAACTCGGGTTGCTCGAGTATATAGAATTAAAGGCGAGCGCCCGGACAGTGATCTATCACGGCTGAAGTCATGAAAATCACGAAGGACAGAGGTAAGGGGAACAATATATGTGTATTAAACGGATCCCTCTAAGAGGAGAATTAATAATGGCCACTATTGCTAAACGAGCGACATTCTACTCGGTTTGTAAACTGTTATTTTCTTATTTCCGTTGGATTTATTCAACTTATCCCCAAAAAAGGTCGTCGTTACCTTTACACTCTCACTTGATCGTATTTTTGTAATTTTAACTTACGTCAAGTGCCTCATTTACGCAGCTGATAAATTAAATAAAAAAATAATGCAAAAAAAGTTGTAAATCTGGAATTTTGTTTCGATATAGGGTTTTAAGTATACTTTTGCGACATGAAATGTACCTGAACGCATGTAAAAGCATCTCAAGACGTAAATTATAATTTTTATTAAACCGCCATCTAGCGGCGCATGCGATTAGAAACTTTAGAATGTTCAAGTTTCTTTTACCGAAATATTAAGTACACCATAAATATATGAACTTTAAAGTATTAAATTATATTTATAAAAGGACAGTAATAATAATATGGAAAAAGAAAAAAAACTGTGTTAAGGTAATATACACCTTTATAAATAATGTTATATAAAAAATGATAAATATTTAAAATCACTCGTAAGTAATTAATCACGTTCATTTGAACTTATCTCAAAAAGTGCGTGATTTATACGCAACTCATTTATTTTACGCGCGACCATTCATAACTAACACGCACACAAGTTCGTTTGTGTGCGTGAACAGTAAAATTTTGGTATTTATGAATGACTACCGCGTTGTCAACAAGTTCTGTTTCTTAGGGAATTTTTTTGAAAAAAAAAAAAAAGTTTGTTTTTATTTCAATAAACGATTATACTACCGAGTCTGAACCTCCTGTGTAAATTTGGGCACCTTTAAAAAAGCCTCCCTGTATATTCAGAGAAATGATTCTAATGTACCAGAAATTGTAAAAGTGAATCATAAACACACTTATTATAATTATTATAGGTCAATAAATAAATACTTAAACTTCATTTTACCCCATCTCTTCGTCAATCTTGTTGTTTCGTTTTATTCTATAACTAAGCTTTACTTCTTTATAACTAATTACTTTTAATTATTTCTCTGTGTGTCTTTTCTTTTAATTATTTATTTACCTTATTATAATAGCTGTTTTGGGCAGACTATTGTTTGTATATTAATTTTATTATTTAAGGATCTGTAAGTAAAAAACATACCTGTAACAAACACTTTACAACTCCATGGCTCAAACTTGTTTAATGTTTGAAAACTGATCTAAGACAAAATCGATGTAAAATCATAATTGTTTGTTGATTATTCGTTATTTAATTATGAAATCGTAAGAAAGAAATTCGAATTGAAATAACTGTGTTATCTATAGATCGATTCTCTTATGTTATGTACATTCGAAAACTTTAACAATATTCAGTAAGTTTACGCAGGGTGCATAGCTTTGTTAAACATTAAGGCACTAAATATGTATCGACTCAGGCTGTTAAAGCCTAAAATCTAGTGCGATATACCCATTTATTTAAAAAACGTCAAACTTAAAACATTCGGCTTGGTGCAACACAAATAAAATCACATTTAATACCAAAGCCCTTCAGAGAACTCATTTCTTATATTTGTCAATATAGTTGTATATGTTGTTACTTAAGGCAATGCGTACGTTAACTTCGTATGTGTCTAGTCAGAAGTTTAAAATAAAAGTATTACGAACGAGTACACTGGAAATTTTCCTTGACGCCCCGATAAAAAAGTAATCATGTGTTTAATTTATTATCACTTTATTTTAGGACTTGTAGCCGCAACAAAATTACAGGTAAGAGGGAGGCATGGATCTATGGATGTGATTTTGCGGTTCCAAATTTAAAATTATTTCAGATTATCTGAAAGTTTCAGTTACAGATATAAAATGTTTCGAGAGATAATTATGTGAATAAAACAAACGATAAAATATTGTTATCATAAATTAAAATAATCGATTTATTAAATGAATTATAACTTCGTTTCAACTTATCGGTATTATTATTGGTTTACTAGAAACAACACTCCAATAATCATCATCATCATTTCAGCCTGTTTGAGTCCACTGCTGAACATAGGCCTCCCCCGTAGACTGCCATGAAGTACGATCCTGAGCCGCCTGCATCCATCGACTTCTAGCGCACTTGTACAATTGAATTGGACAGTGCAATTTCAAGCTGTATCCATTTAAAAAACACTGATTCAATTTTGAAAGATTGTGTTGATTTTGAAACATTCTCACAGGAAGATATTAGATCAGGATTGGAAAACGGCAAGTTGACAGTAGTAGCCTTGATCGATTTGAGTAAAGCTTTTAATATGGTTGATTTTGATGTTTTGGATGGAATACACGGGTGTCTTAACATATCTCAAACAGCAATCGATTGCTGTTTGAGATATGTTAAGACACCCACTTACGACAATCGACGCACACACTTACCGGTGTGTGTGTGCGTCGGCAGCGTATATGCACTGAAGTGGAAGTGGGCGATAGAAATCGTAAATAGATACGAAAACTATATACGACTTCAAATACCTCGCTCTGTATTCATTTTATAACTGATTTATCTTTTTTTTAAATGTGAAACGTTGTCAAACGAGCAGACGGTTCACCTGATGTTAAGTGAATACCGCCGCCCATGGACATCTGCTACACCCGAGGGTTACAGATGCTGTTAACCTTTTGCAAAATTGGGCTCCGACTAGCTCTTTCACCAGACGAAACGCGAAAGTATTTGTCATACGTCCACTTTACGCCGGTCTTCTGTGGGGTCGTGGTAATTACGCGGACGGGCCTGCCCATTCGTGCAACAGCCGAGTCTGCTACGTGGCCCTACCACCGTATTGCCCTACCACCGATTTTAAGGATTTCCCTAAGTATCTCCGGAGCACAAGATACAATAACAATGAAATTAATATGGGACCACATGGGATGCACCAGCTTACAAATAAAAAATAATCATCAAAATCTGTTCACTCTGTCGAAAGTTCTGAAGTATCAAACATAAAAAAAATACGGTCGAATTGATAACCTCGTCCTTTTCTGAAGTTGTTTGAAAAACAGTATAAAGTATTCTTGTCCGCTGTATATTACTTTATTTTATTCATTTTATTTTATTTTATTTTATTTTTATTTTTATTTCACACAAAATCTACAGCTCTTTGTTACATCTTATCTACTATCTTACATCTTATGATATCTACTATCTATCTACATCTTATGATCTAAAACCGAATTGTTATTGACGACCCGAATGGCGTTGCGGGTAGTGTACCTGCCTCCTGCGCCAGAGGGTGTGGTTCGATCCCCACTACTGGATAAATATTGTGTGATTAACACAGTATTTTTCTAGTGTCTGGGTGTTAGTATATGTATAATATGTATTTATGTACAAAAGAAAAGTATGTTTAAGTATGTATATCAGTTTTCTAGAACCCATAGTACAAGCTTTGCTTAGTTTGGGACTAGAGAATGTTGTGTAAAAATGTGTCCTAAAATATTTATTTATTTATTTATTTAAAATTATAGCCAAAAACGGATTTACATCATTTAAGTAGTATAGTAGGTACTTTACTATTTTCGCAAGACGCAAGCGCTGATCATAAATTCAAAACTAATTTTTATAATTTTAATAAACGCAGTTCCTGTAAAAAAAACATTAATAAATAATACAATAAAACATTGAACAACGAATAAACAAGTTATTACAATGAAAAATCCAGAAAATAGACAAAAAAAGTTAAAATAGTTAATTTTTTACTTAATTTGTCTTGCAAATAAGGATGCGGAAATGAAAACACAGATTATAATAAAGCACAATTTATTACAGTATTTCCTATAGTCAAACAATTCGCCTTAGGTCGCACGTCTAAATGTAATAAAAACTTAACATTATCAGACAGTAAGAATTTAATAATATAATTGTAACCTCTCAACTTGTCAATGCTTTTCCTCGAGATTGCTATAAAATCGAAATACTATATATTCTAATTAAATATTAACTCTAATTAATCTACGCGGGATGTTAATTATTTTTCTAAATTCTTTACATGCTATTACGACTAGTCAAGAAAATGTTTCTATGGAAAACGTACATTTTCGAAAACCATTGTATAATATGAATTTAAATAAGACTGTTTTAAAACGTAGCTCCTTTGTCATGTTGATACTTTGTTAACATTATCTGTGGCACATAGTGAATTCAGTAACGAAAGGAATTGTCATAAAAACAGTTGTTGATGTCAATGTTTAATCTTATTACATCTAGAAGTAAGAAGAAAGAAACGGGATTGTAGGATTATTATTTTAACTACAACGTATCGAAAACTTTCTAATATAACGACGGTGCAGCGAAATCGACGCCATAAAATGCCCACTTGAGAATCTTACGTACATTTCAATATAATACAATTAGTACAGAAAGTTTCTTTGTACAATTTACATTTGTTTAGAATAAAACTACGCCGAGCGTTTGAACGCATTACGCTATAACGTATAACGTAACAATAACGTTATTTTAATACTAAGTTCGTTAACATCACGAGAGCTTTTCACTCGAATAACGATTCAGTACACAGTTTGCAGATCTTTAACACTTTACAAGGCCATAGTTGCGACATTACTAAGTAACCAAGTTAAGGGGAATTTATATTATCGCAATAAGATATTTAGGGCAACTTACCTTTGACATTTCTCAACTGACAACACTGTTGCGAATAATCCGTTCTCTTTTCTTCGTAAATTTTAGATTTACAAAAAAAAAAATACATATTTCGATGTGACTTACGAACAATTTAGAGTTATTTTTATACTTGTCTACAAATTCAGTTTACGAAATGTACTGTGTAAAGTTAAAATTACATTCGATTCTATGGTTTAAAAAGCCTATTATTACGAAATACAATAAGTGTTACTGGTACAGATTTGAAATAACTTAAAAGATGTTATAAATTTTGAAATAAGATATACTTACCTGCTATGATAATAGTTACAGATGATAATACTTTCCACATCTTTTTAAAAATTTTGCCGATTTGTTACTTACAAAATAATCAAACATATTGTACAAGAACAAAATACAAGTAGATTTTTACTCTACAAGATCATACTTAAAATCAAGCTGAATTGTTGACATTACGGTTGACATTAAATTGGTTGACATTACTATAGACTAAAAATGTTGATAGGTTATCTCGATCTCTCTCTAATATATTAGGAACAAAAGAAACAGCTTTTGGTATACTTCTCATAACACTTATTCAATTATTTTTAAAGTATTTCATGATACTAGCAAGAAATAACTAAGTATATTAGAATGTTTAATAGATATCTATGTTATATAAGCTTACTGTTATATTAGTTTGTCCGTTTACCGTCTTAGCGTAATTTACATATTATTTATATATAGTAATAGACTACAAAATTAACTATGTGATGTTGAACTAGCTTTCTAATTTATAAAAGCATATATACACAGCGTTATTTGTTTATTGTTGAAATTATCTCAACTCTGGGCTCAGAATTTTAGTACTATTTAAATTAGGCTAAGCTTGAGATAAGTTAATTGGTTATATTTCAATTGATCTCTCAATTTGTCAGCATTCACACCAATTTGTCATTTAATAATGCACTTCGAGGCGCCAATGAATACTTAACTAGTGTAAATTTGTTATTTAGTGATTTTCCAATGCCACAGTCGAGCAGATAAACCAAGTTTAAAACAGACCTTATGTACGAACTAAGGTTGGTTTTTAAACGAAAAATCGTCTTATCTTTAATGACCACGAAATTCAGAATTTAAACTAGTGACAATTAATTCAATATATCATTTTGACAAAATAGTCGAATTAATGCCGAACAATTAGATTTTTAATAAAGATATTTTAACGACGTTTTGCTTTGGTTAAGCTTACATTTAAGACTTCGAAAAACTTTACGTTAAACATAGGCTACATAAGACCAAAACATTTCAATGACAACAGTTTATTGTTGTTAACAAAAAGAATTGAGTTAGATGGAAGTTCTTCAATTATATTAGTTATATGGTATATATATATATATATATATATATATATATATATATATATTATTTCGATGGTAACTGGTAACTCGTGATGTAACTGCGTTTCTGAACTGATAACTTAACGGTTATATTAATAAATTGGTAGCTGACAGTTAGTTGCTAATGGGGTGATGGTAAATATGTATGATTAATTTTATTCAATATGTTATAAGTAATTCATGTTTTTTCTTTGACAACCCGTCAAAGAAAAACCCATCTGCTTTCGATGCGTGTAACAACTTTAGAAATGCTAGAGAGTGAAATAATATGAAAAAAATCAGAAGTGGAAAAATCACATACAATACTGATTATTTTTAATAAATAAACTTACAGTATCGACATTTATAAAACATCTTAAATTAAATTAACACCAAAAAACGTTTTTGAACTGAAGTTCCTTCTGTCAGGGTTGAAAAGAGTAATAATTATTACAACAATAATTTCATAATTTCGTTTCAAATACTTTGAAGATTCTTAATTTCCACTAATAAAAAGCAACTGTGTTGGCACATAAAAATTAAAAAAAAAATTAAGTCAACTCAATGAAAGAAAATTAAAACAAAATATAACCTATTGCTTCTACAATAAAGAAAATGATTCCATGCTTGTATAACGTTAAAAATTCCAATTTAAAAAAAAAAAACGTTAAAAACTCCAAGATTTTTAATCTGTAAGCACTTCGAAAGTTTTCGCGCTATAATTTAGCTTATTTTTAAATTTGCACCGTGAATTTTTTAATCTATCATTATTGTGGTAATAAGGAAAAACTATGTTTAATGTGGATTTTTATTTTTTATTCATATATTTAAGCCTACGATATTAATAATGCCCATTTATATTATAATTAAATTAATCGATAATTGAAATTGAATTATCGCATATTTATTACCTTAAATTACTAAAAACAATAAAGTTAACTCAAATTTTCTTATTGTCTAGTCACTTCTTTATAAATATTGCGAATATAATAAGTTTAATGGTTGATAATAAAAAAAAAATTAAAAGTGAATTATTCTTTAGAAAAAAAAAAAGGAATCACATATTACACCGAATAATTTTATGAAAAAAATAGTGAATATATCCTTTCTATATAATACTTTGAAAGGTAAAACTAATTCATAAAAGCTATTGTTTTTCTTATTATTTCGTATAGGTCGCAAAATTACTGGCATAATTTGTTTTTAATCTAAATACAGATGCTTACTTTTATTTTATATAGTATTACACTATATTCTTGTTTAAGTAAAAATAAATATTATTCGTCATTAAAATATTTGAAATAAATGCCGAGCTATGTTTAACTATGTAAAAAAAAAAACTTTGTTTTAGAAAAATAACAAATTATGACAATTTATAGCCGATACGATATGGCAACATAGGAAAAACTAATGTGGCAACCAATTAATTTTAGACCAATGATGTTATTGCAGCGATAGAAACTAACCAGCAAATGGTATACAATAAACATCCATGTATGTCTCTCATAACTTTTTTTTTATTTCATTTGGGATAAATAAACAGTGTCACAATAAAGAAAAAATAATAGGCTTACATTTTACATAAGGTATTCATTAATTAATTCCTATTCATTATCCATATTTATTAATTCCTCGACGTATGATATCCTTTTCTTCTTTACTGTAACATAATCTTTTTAGGTAATATTAACGTTGATGACTACAATTTTATTTTGGCAGTCCGTGTGATATTTTCATGAATAATAATTTAAAAAAAATACACATGGTAACACACAATATTATGTTTTGTTATTCCGCGATAATGTTAGCAATCGATAATCATTATCATTATATATTTTTATTATTAGCCATTGTAAACGATGTTTTCGTTTTGCGCTGCCCTAAAAACTGAAATAATCAAGTACTTAGCTAGTTCAAATTCATCTAAAATATATTAGATTATACAACAATAATTAATTTCATTTGAAAAACAAATCATATCTAACAGACCTAAACTATACTATACATTACTTAAGGAATAACTTAGTCAACTATTTACATATTAAGTTGTTTCTATGAATACATTATGAATTCATTCTAACCGATTCGAACTAAACGGTTAGGTTACCAACGTTACTGTACTTGAAAAGTAAAATCAACTGGCTAAGGTAAATTGAACCTTAAATCTATAGTGTTAGTGACAAGTTTAGTTTAATTTTACCCGTTACATAAGTATATGACGTTACGTAAGTACGTACAATAATAGTTCGTATAATCTAGCTCATAAAAGCCACAATCTCTAAGTCGCAGTAAATCGCCAAAGTACTACGTGTACACTTAAAAATTTTAAGTTTTGACACTAGATAAAGGCTTTCAAACTTTGAGATAAGGTTCAATTTCGCTTGCACTACCAAAATTACAAAACTTAATAGAAACAAAACACGTCAATAATCTTTATTTATCTAAAGATAAGGCTCAATTTTGCTTGTACTATTAAGCTAAGACAATCAATCGATATAGAAATGCGAAGCGAATCTTATGCACTTTGCTTTTAAAACAGCCAAATCAACAAAACTTTGTATCCAACGAGATAAAGTCTACTTTCCCACTGATCGATACTGTCTGCCCTTTCTCAACGGATCGAAAACGGACCTTAAGCGATGGGTATAAGGTCGGTTTCCCAATCACTGGCCAATGATATGAGGCAATGAAGTCGGGCTCTTAGCCATATAATCGCCAAGTCAAACCTTATATTTCAATCGATAAGGTCGATTTTTCCATAATCAGTACAGTATGTCGTTTCCAAACGGATCGAAAATGGACCTTACGCGATCGGAATAAGGTCGGTTTCCCAAAGTCGGGACATATCTAGTTGGTGATGTGCTTGTCAGCGCTCAAGTCCTTACGATTTCCCACTGACGCTTAATACTGTCCACCTTTTCAAAGTGGCGGATCGAAAATGGACCAAAATCGATTGACATAAGGTCGTTTTCCCAATGCGCTGCTTCTTGCCTATGATCTTGATCTTTTGCCTTTACAACCAAGAAACTGGACCTTACATCCGAAGTGATAAAGTCGATTTCCCACTGACCAATACAATCCTTATCCAACTGTTGGTCGAAACTGGACCTTATATCTGAAGTGGTAAGATCGACTTCACACGGGCCAATACTGTCCTTTTCCAACTGTTGGTCGAAAATGGACCTAAAGCCGTAAGGTATAAGGTCGATTTCCCACTGACCAACATTGCGCCCCTTCCAGACGGATCGAGAACCTAAAGCGAGGGGAATAAGGTTGGTTTCCCAACGGCGGGCACCTACTTGGCGATGATCTTGAACCGTTTGACCTTGATGGCGACCTTGTTCGCGCACAGCTTGAGGGCCGTCGCGGCCGTCAGGAGGTCCGCCCCGCTGAGGTCCTTTCCGTCCACCGATAGCAGGAGGTCCCCCTTCTGCAGGCGACCGTCCACTTCCGCCGGTGACCCAGACAGCTGCAAGGGACCCCAATGTATATAACGACAGAAGTAATCGCCAGTACACCATTTTCGATAAAATAGGATATTAAATGCCATCGATAACGGTTGAGTTAAAGAACTTTTAGGACACATTTTTACACAACGTACTATAGCCCCAAACTAAGGCAACGCTTGTTATGGATCCTGAATAACTGACAAACGTATTTAAACATACTTTTCTTTTATAAATAAATACATATGCCTACATAAAAGCATTGACACAAAAAAAGCTATGTACTAGTGGGGATCGAACCCACACCTCGAGCCAACGAGAGACGGGCCAGCGAATAGATAAAACACGTTTGATTTTCATCGTTATAGCAAGCAGTCGTTTAGTTCAGTGGTTAACGCATCAGAACGAGAATCCGGTAAACGTGGATTCGATTCCGGCAGTCTCTACGGGTTTTACAATTTTTTTGCGACATTTTTATCTACACACTAGCTGGTGTTCGGTGCGTTTTACTTCACTAGAGAAATATTACGTGTAAGCGAATATCGATTCGACTCGATTCGATTATGGTTTAAAAGATAAGTCACCGCCACCAGCGCCATCTATCCGGCACCAACGTAACTATGTCCATCGGAGTGGTCGACTCGCCCTTGAATTATGAGCCAAGTTTCATATCAATTGGGCTAGCGAACTCAAGTTTTAGGTGAACAATACATACACAGCTACATTTTTCTTCATATACACACCTCTAGAATTGCAGGAACCCAATAACGAAAATCACGATCCTGACTCTATGTCAGAAAACGACATAAAACTACCACTTTTTCGACTCATACTAAAACAAGGCTATATAACGTATAATTCGGTCACTTTCACTCCCCACCAATCGCTGCGTTAGTTCATAAGTACACAAATCTTTGTTATGTTAAAACTAAAGCATTGCTTTAAATGCTAAAAAAAATAATGTAGATAAAAGACGTTAAGATTTTCGTCGCCGTGGCTATCAGCCGTTTAGCTCAGTGGCTAGAGCGTCAGGCCGCGAATGCCGAAGACGTGGGTTCGATTCCCACAGCGGCGACAATCTTTTCGCACTTTTTCTACACGTTTTAATGTTCAATTTCAAGTGCAGAGATTAGCACTATAAATAATTTAAATTTCTAAAATGTTCCCTCTGTAATTATAAAGGATGCAAGTCTAATTCACAGACTGGGCTGATGAGACTCACCAGCTCGTTGATGTAGAGCCCCGGGCCGTTGGGCGGCGCCCGACAGCAGATGCCCAGGGCTCTTCCCCCCTTCCTGGCCAGCTCCACCTCCACCTCCTCGTACTGTATCGGCTCCGGGCGGAACACGGTCAGCCGGAGCTGGGGACATAGTTTGTTAATACCCTGTGTCCGGGTCGACTGTCGATTTGCGGCTTAAGGTCTTTTCTAGTACCAATTGGAATGTTTGTTAGGTTTCATTGGGGTGCTTTTATCTTAAAACTTGATGAGCAAGCGGGCGGTTCACCTGATTTTAACCTCCCACGGAGATGAACAGCTGAGGATTCGTAGACCTTTTACCAGGTAAAACCAAATTTCTTTGTAAAATTTTGACGTTTCATAAGAATGCGCAAGCGTCTACGTGAATAAAGATATTTTATTATTATTATTATATAATGCAAAAGTATACATCAATCCCAATCTTGGTCTTTTGTGTGGCTTCCCGGGATGAGCCTGCCCGTTTTTGCAAGATTTTGCATGGTTTTGCTCTTGCGATGCGCCATGTCATATTAAAACGACTCAAATCAAACCCGTTTTGACTTTGATATTGAAACCGCTATATGTAAAAATATAAGTGGTCCGAGGTGTGTGCCTTTGGGGACCCTATGGTTTTCTTTAACACATAAGTTTTTTAATATGGTGAAAAGCACATCTGAAGTGCACAGTTCACAATGGGAGCTTTCGGCGCGATAAGAAAAAAAGCAGCTTGGTTTAAGAGAGAAAGAGTTAAGAATGGACATCAGTGTCATTGAAATTAAAAGAGAAATATGAAATGTAAATGGAAAAAAGGCATGCTGGTGGCTTGAAACTGGGAAAGACTGTTCAAGTGTGTGTGTTTTGAATTAATACGCGTGTGTGTGTGTGTGGTTATGTTTAGAAAAAGGAAAGCGACAGCTTTAGATCTCTTGTAAGAAAAAGAAAACCTTTGTTCGTATGTATAAAGAAGAGCCAGTCTTATTTCTACCAGATACATGTTTGTATCAGGTAGAGAATAAGAAAGAGTAAATTATTTACGTATGATCGTGCTTCGTGGCCGTTTTTCGGGTGGCCTACGTTTAAGAGTGGACTCTAACAGGGCGGAATGGTAATGACGACTGTAGTCGGTGTACACTTTAATTGATTATGAATGTTTGTCTATGTATATGAATGTGTCCCGAAATATTTACACCAACATACCTTGGGCACGCGCAGCTTGATGGAGAGGCACCGTCGCTCGTGCGCCATCTTGTCGGCGATGGCGACGCCGTTGCACTCGCGGATCTGGTCCCCGGGCTGGAGCCTGCCGTCCTTGGCCAGCGCGCCGCCCGCCACCACCTCCAGCACCACGGCGGCCGCGCCCTGGGAATTCCGACACTCATTTGCACGTAATAATTACCCTCACTTCACGATAGCAGTACCCTGTGCTGTGAGGATGGTTGGGTGATAAGGAATCCGCGCCCTGGGAATTCCGACACTCATTTGCATGTAATAATTACCCTCACTTTACGATAGCAGTACCCTGTGCTGTGATGTTGATTGGGTGATAAGGAATCCGCGCCCTGGGAATTCCGACACTCATTTGCACGTAATAATTACCCTCACTTTACGATAGCAGTACCCTGTGCTGTGATGTTGATTGGGTGATAAGGAATCCGCGCCCTGGGAATTCCGACACTCATTTGCACGTAATAATTACCCTCACTTTACGATAGCAGTACCCTGTGCTGTGATGTTGATTGGGTGATAAGGAATCCGCGCCCTGGGAATTCCGACACTCATTTGCATGTAATAATTACCTTCACTTTACGATAGCAGTACCCTGTGCTGTGATGTTGATTGGGTGATAAGGAATCCGCGCCCTGGGAATTCCGACACTCATTTGCATGTAATAATTACCCTCACTTTACGATAGCAGTACCCTGTACTGTGATGTTGATTGGGTGATAAGGAATCCGCGCCCTGGGAATTCCGACACTCATTTGCACGTAATAATTACCCTCACTTTACGATAGCAGTACCCTGTGCTGTGATGTTGATTGGGTGATAAGGAATCCGCGCCCTGGCAATTCCGACACTCATTTGCACGTAACAATTACCCTCGCTTCACGATAGCAGTACCCTGTACTGTGATGTTGATTGGGTGATAAGGAATCCGCGCCCTGGCAATTCCGACACTCATTTGCACGTAACAATTACCCTCACTTTACGATAGCAGTACCCTGTGCTGTGATGTTGATTGGGTGATAAGGAATCCGCGCCCTGGGAATTCCGACACTCATTTGCACGTAATAATTACCCTCACTTTACGATAGCAGTACCCTGTGCTGTGATGTTGATTGGGTGATAAGGAATCCGCAGTTACCCTCACTTTACGATAGCAGTACCCTGTGCTGTGATGTTGATTGGGTGATAAGGAATCCGCGCCCTGGGAATTCCGACACTCATTTGCACGTAATAATTACCCTCACTTTACGATAGCAGTACCCTGTGCTGTGATGTTGATTGGGTGATAAGGAATCCGCGCCCTGGGAATTCCGACACTCATTTGCACGTAATAATTACCCTCACTTTACGATAGCAGTACCCTGTGCTGTGATGTTGATTGGGTGATAAGGAATCCGCGCCCTGGGAATTCCGACACTCATTTGCACGTAATAATTACCCTCACTTTACGATAGCAGTACCCTGTGCTGTGATGTTGATTGGGTGATAAGGAATCCGCGCCCTGGGAATTCGGATAGCACTGTGCATTTCCGCGCTGGGAATTCCGACACTCATTTAATAATTACCCTCACTTTACGATAGCAGTACCCTGTGCTGTGATGTTGATTGGGTGATAAGGAATCCGCGCCCTGGGAATTCCGACACTCATTTGCACGTAATAATTACCCTCACTTTACGATAGCAGTACCCTGTGCTGTGATGTTGATTGGGTGATAAGGAATCCGCGCCCTGGGAATTCCGACACTCATTTGCACGTAATAATTACCCTCACTTTACGATAGCAGTACCCTGTGCTGTGATGTTGATTGGGTGATAAGGAATCCGCGCCCTGGGAATTCCGACACTCATTTGCACGTAATAATTACCCTCACTTTACGATAGCAGTACCCTGTGCTGTGATGTTGATTGGGTGATAAGGAATCCGCGCCCTGGGAATTCCGACACTCATTTGCACGTAATAATTACCCTCACTTTACGATAGCAGTACCCTGTGCTGTGATGTTGATGGGTGATAAGGAATCCGCGCCCTGGGAATTCCGACACTCATTTGCACGTAATAATTACCCTCACTTTACGATAGCAGTACCCTGTGCTGTGATGTTGATTGGGTGATAAGGAATCCGCGCCCTGGGAATTCCGACACTCATTTGCACGTAATAATTACCCTCACTTTACGATAGCAGTACCCTGTGCTGTGATGTGTGATGTTGATTGGGTGATAAGGAATCCGCGCCCTGGGAATTCCGACACTCATTTGCACGTAATAATTACCCTCACTTTACGATAGCAGTACCCTGTGCTGTGATGTTGATTGGGTGATAAGGAATCCGCGCCCTGGGAATTCCGACACTCATTTGCACGTAATAATTACCCTCACTTTACGATAGCAGTACCCTGTGCTGTGATGTTGATTGGGTGATAAGGAATCCGCGCCCTGGGAATTCCGACACTCATTTGCACGTAATAATTACCCTCACTTTACGATAGCAGTACCCTGTGCTGTGATGTTGATTGGGTGATAAGGAATCCGCGCCCTGGGAATTCCGACACTCATTTGCACGTATAATTACCCTCACTTTACGATAGCAGTACCCTGTGCTGTGATGTTGATTGGGTGATAAGGAATCCGCGCCCTGGGAATTCCGACACTCATTTGCATGTAATAATTACCCTCACTTTACGATAGCAGTACCCTGTGCTGTGATGTTGATTGGGTGATAAGGAATCCAGGTAATTTAGGTAAAATCCATCCACGCCTCGCGTTCACGCCAAAACCACTGAACCGATTTAAAGAAATTTGGTACACGAATAGTCTAGAGCCTGAGGAAGGACATAGACTATTTTTTATTGGATTTTTTTTTAAATAAAGATATTTATTTAAGGGCTTCAACTCGAGCGAAGCCGCGGGGGGAAAGCTAGTAAAAAATATTTCAGATGCTTCGCAAGACTTGTAATGTGCTTAATCACAAAGCGGTAACACAATGAATATTAAAAAATAAACTACCTACTTATGTAAGTTGACAATTGTATATAACGTAATAGCATGCAAATTAGGTTGTGCGAGTTGCAGCGATGAGTTTGAAAGGCGCTTCGCGAACAGAGAATGTTATTCAAACATAAACTTCACGCGGACAAACACCCAGATGCGAAACAACTATCTGTGGGTCACACAAATTGAGGTCCCGTGTGGGAATCGAACCCACGACCTCCGGCCCGAAGCCAATATTTGGCGAGTGACGGAGTCATCAAATTTACATTTAGCTTACTTAATTTTCTCTCTTTTTCTGTGTATATTTAAAATATTTAATTAGGGGTGGGTGCACCTTCTCCCGTAAAACGAATAAATAAAAAACAAAGCGAAATTTAAGTTTGTAATGTGTCTGTATTGCTTGCTCTATGATAGCAGTTTCGTTGATGAGAATATTTAATTTGAACGTATTTGATCTCGTATATAGTTCTGGGCGCGATTCCAAAGGATAACGCTTCGATTCCCGCCACGCAAAATTTAATGTCTAATATTAAGTGAGATTAGAGAGAGACACAGATTAGCACTATAAAAATTTAATTTGGTCTCGATTATCCTAACGTTTCAAAGGGCACTGAATTTAACTCAGAACTTCGCTTCAATTGTCATTAAGTTAAAGAGTACATAAAATTTCAATTTGGTCTTAATTATGCTTACTTGTTTATAATGTGGTTTTTATTAGGGCCTACGTTGATAATTTGGTTGTAGGTTGACGAAGGTATTTAATTTGACATTGGCTATAGTTTTATGGCATTTACGTTGACGAAGCTATTAAGAAACTTGACATTAACTATAGCTTTATTGGACCTACATTGACGAAGGTATTTAAGTTAACATTGGCTATAGCATTACTTACGTTGATGAAGCTATTTGAATTTGACATTAACTATAGCTTTATTGGACCTACATTAATGAAGCTATAAAATTTTATGTTGACTATAGCTTTATTGGACCTACATTGACGAACTTATTTTCAAAGCTTTTTGACTTTGATCCGACTTACGTTTATGAGGGTATCGCTGCCACCAAGTAGAACCACTCCCAGATTTTCATTTGCTGTGTTGATCTCGATGACCATCTCCTGGTTGGGCTTGATGGGCGCGGTGGCCGGGTCTGGTGGTGGCTCCGCTGAAAAGAAAACCTGACCTCAATTTGGATGGAACATATAAGATATATATATAGGATTTTAATTTAGATTTAACATTTAACTGTGGTATTGCCACGCATCAGTATTCGCTGTTGCACAAATGGGCGGGTCCGTCCGGGTAGTATCGCGACCTCACAGAGGGCCGGAGTGCTCTGGATGTGCGAAGCATCAGCAACTCTACTGGTGTTGCAAATGTCCATGGGCGGCTGCTATCACTTAACATCAGGTGAACCACCAGCTCGTTTATCACTTTCTCACATGAAAAAAAAAATACCAACCCCACCTACGCGGGCTGATAGTAATGATGATGATATTTATTTTTATTTTTATTTGAAATTACTTTTTGTTTTTTAATTTCTTTTTCTTCTTCGCTTGTTTCATATTGAGTCGAACGTCCTGTTTCTTGCCGTTGTGCATGTATATAATGTTTAATCACGTTAAACGGTTAGTTATTTGTCGATTGACTTACGTTTAGCCGGCGAGGGCGCCGGTCTCGGTGTTTGCGGCCTAGACGCCCCACCAGCATCCGTTGTGCTGTTCGCGCCTATAATAAAATTATGGTAATTATAATCAAAATAATTCTTTCCACATTGCATAGAGATATATATAGTATGATAGTATTTTGTACTATTTATTTTATCTGAGTGCTGTTTGTTTTCCTAATCAATAAAAATAAAAATAAAAAATAAAAATGACTGTTATATACTAGCTGCTGCCCGCGACTACGTCTGCTTAGAATAGGCTGAAGGCGTAACATTCAGACAGAAAGTCTGTCTTTCTGTTTGAATGTATACAAAAAATGTGTATGTAAATTATAGCCTATGTGTTATTCTGATGTTTAAGCTATATTATTGTAAAGTTTCGTTAAAATACATTCAGTACTATTTGCGTGAAAGAGTAACAAACATCCATACATACATACAAACTTTCGCGATTATAAAATTAGTAAGGATTCCAAATGATAACTGTACACAAACTATTTATTAAACAAAATACGCAAAACTGAGTAATAATCTTTTTATGATAGTTGTGAGTCGTGTAATAAATAATACGTAATAATTGAAGATGATGTATCAAGTCCATTGTTGCTATTAATTAATTTCAACATAGAGCAAGAGTAATTTCCACATATCCTTGTCCAAAATATTAGGGCCTCTATCCGCGTTTTACCTGAGGCGCCCGACGGGTCTTCCTTGTCTGGATCCTTCATGTTGGGGCTGCACACCGTCAGGATCACGACTCCCTCCGTATTTTTCAGTTTGGCCGCCGCCTAGAATCCAACAGTGATGTTGTTACTAACTGTGACGGTTTTGTTCGATTAAAAGGGATCACGTCACCGGAGCAGAGAAAAAAAGTGCGAAAAAGTAGTAATCGATGTACGAAAAACTATTTAAAGAGACTTTCGCCAAAGAAATCTCAAAAACCTGCAGAAAATCACTTCAATATTATAAATCGTAGTACAAGTAAAAAAGTTAAGTAATAGCTCATATATATCTCACTGCTAGGCAAAAGTCTTTGTACGGAGGGTATCAGTGATAAGTTCATCACGCGATCCCATTGCATTGATTGGCGGATTTCACATGTCTTCGAAATATTTTTTTAACTATTGTTTCGAAAATGTGTAATAATAATATGTTTCCTGACGATTTTTTCCTTCCCTGCTGAGCAAATGATACGTAAGTACCGAAAATTTACAATTTGGTACGAGTGATCTGGTATGTTACCATGAACCACTAGGAGAAATCGGTGAGTTTTTAGTGCATAGCCTGTCTGAATTCTGTGCATACCACGCTGTTGAATAAATATTATTTATGTGAGAAGGTGATAAGCAACTGGCGGTTCACCTGATGTTAAATGATAACCACAGCCCATTGACATTTGAAATGCACTCTTAAGTTTCCAGAAACGTTGCCAATAGAGTGGGTCTCGGCTACCTCACTCACCGGACGAAACGCAGAAGTGTCACACTTCCACTTCACGCCGGTCTTCTGTGAGGTCGCGGTACTTCCCCGGACAGAACTGCCCATTCGTGCAACGGCGAACTGATGCGTGGCCCTACCACAGTTTAATGACAATACTCACCGCATCGTAACTGCAACTTAGCAAGGAGTCCCTGTTAACGGCAAGAATCATGTCGCCTATTTGAAGTCCGGCCTGAAAACAACGAAACGCATTTGTGTAAGCCCAACACCGTTTCTAGGCGAACGCGACCAATCGCACTGAATTTGAACGTAAGTAAAGACGATATAAATAGATATAAGGTACGGGAATTTAATGAGAAAAGGTAAAAGTCATATAATAATTTGAAACTTAAAGAGATAGCTTACGAAACAAACTTTGTATTCCTTATTAAAACATGTAGAAAAAGTACGAAAAGATTGTCGCCGCTGGGGGAATCGAACCCACGTCTTCGGCATTCGCGGCCTGACGCTCTAGCCACTGAGCTAAACGGCTGATAGCCAGAGCGACGAAAATCTTAACGCCTTCTTTCTACATTAGCTCAGTGGCTAGAGCGTCAGGCCGCGAATGCCGAAGACGTGGGTTCGATTCCCCCAGCGGCGACAATCTTTTCGTACTTTTTCTACATGTTTTAATGTTCAATCTTAAGTGCAGAGATTAGCACTATAAAAAACTTTAAAATTTGTATTCCTTTTTAAAAAAGTTGGTCCTTTGAGCTGGATATACAGTTGAGTATATTTAAATTTTGTCAATATTTTCTTTTCTGAACTGCTGTATACGGAGACAGATTATTAAGCTAACAGTTTTCAATCTCCTTATAAATCCGTAGAGAGTTAACTCCCATCTATTTTCTCATTCATCCATCATTTGATAGCTGATTAGTTAACCTCTACGATGATCAGTGTTTAAGAAACCGTGTGTTTAGTTTTATCTGGTTACCTGTTCAGCAGCGCTACCCTCTTGAAGATCCGACACGAATATCCCACGACCAGCCTCCGTGTGCCGTCCCTCGATTATCATGATGCCCAGCCCAGAAGGACCCTGGAAAATATAGTCTTCTTAGTTAAACATTGAAAAAAACGGACGAAAAGTTCGAATCGGACCCACGTCTTCCGGATTCGCGTCTTTAACCACTAAGCTAAACGGGTGATTGCCACAAGGATGAAAAATCTCAACATATTTTCGCAATTTTACGGAATGTGAGCAATGAAAGAGATAACAAGAGATGCGCCACGCAAAATCTAAGTTGGGGCATGCAAAGGAATGTTTGGAGACGATTACAAATCTCTGCATCTCTTTGTTTACTTAGTTATAATAAAAAAAAGTAAAATAGCTAAAAATAAAAATAACTAAATTTTTTTTAAACACTGTGAAAAATACATTAATTGCAATTTTTTTTAAATCCAAATTAGTTTGTTATTTAAGATCCTATATATACAACATTAAATCTATCTAAAATTGCCTATCTAATAAACTTAATCCACGCGGCATGGTACTGAGACACAATTGACAATTGACACCGCACATATCTCGGAATTATAGGTAAATGTCAAAGAGTTGTTATTGTTTGCCATGGTGAAATTAGTCGCTTTGCAGCCAACTTTATCATGTCGCTTTTTGGGGGTCGGTGTGCACTAAAATTATGAGAGTAAAATTTTTAAAATGCAAAAATTTTACTCTCATAATTTTTTCCCAACGCGCCAAGAAGTATACTTCAATAAATTTAAATAATGAAAGAATATTTTTCCCGATACTTTTGTGTAACCGACCTTTTTGATGGTGATGTCTCGAACCCCTTTGTAGCCGGCAAATCGGTCCTCCGACTGAAAAAAAAAGGACTACCTTAGTATTGGTATCTATTTAATTTGTTCAGTTTTCAGGTTATAGATATTTATTCAGGACAAAAAAACATTACATAGTTGACTTAAAACATGATAAATATATGGAAGGAAAACATATGATAAGGATACAAACAACAGTCGGAGACGGGTTTTTTTTTAATTTAATTAGTTTACAACTCGTTTAATATGCGCTTTTTACCCTTGGGGTACGGAACCCTATAAATAAGATACTGCTGTCTGTCTGTCTGTCCGTCGGTCATCAGATATATATCATGAATCGAGATAGTTAGACTGTTGACATTTTCACAGATAATGTATTTCTGTTGCCGCTATAACGATAAATAGTAAAAAAACAAAATAAAAAAATATTTAAGTGTGGCTCCCATACAACAGTCATCATTTTTTTTCCTGTTTATATAGATAATGGTACGGAGCCCTACGTGCGCGAGTTTACATCCTTTAATTTTCTCAGGCAGATTTCTGTTAATTAATACAGCCTTTTTTATTCCTTTTTGTTACAATATTGACCTTGTTTTAGGATAACTTTATCCTGTGCTGTAAGGACGTTTTACTTACATAAATTGCACTTGGTAACCAAAATAAAACATGTCTTTTGTATGGTAAATTAACCAAACTTAATTATTTTATTCTGTTTTTAGTTGTTGTTGCTATAGCGGCAACAGAAATACATAATCTGTGAAAATATCAACTGTTCTGACGGACAGACAGACAGCGGAGTCGTAGGGTCCTGTTTTACCTACTTAATTTAAAGATGGCAATGCATTTGACACCCTGCGGGTGTTGAAAATGTCGATGGGCGGCGATTAACACTTAACAACAGGTGAACCGCCAGCTCGTTTGCCACTTTATCACATAGAAAAAAGAAAAACTAAAGTGAGGCTAATTCATGCTGTACTCTCCAGTACATCGAGTGCTCAGTCCATACGCAGAATGCGTTTGACGTACGCAAAGTTCGATTCCAACTTTTAATAAGCCTGTGTGGACTTTGACCGCTAAAAAGTTTCATCCTGTCCGCTGTAGCACATAGCTAACAAAGCTAATCCCACGCGGTCCTTATCGCAAAATCAATTCCAGATAACGTGGATACAATGCAAACACGTACGAAACATGGGCGAATTAAACTTCTCTTTTGAATTTATTAAACTCTCTATTCATTTTTTTTAAACATTGCCCTTAATTTCAGGATAACATAATCCTGTGTTGTAAGTACGTTTTACAAACATAGTGGCGCCGTTGCCAAGGTATTGGCTTCGGCGTCGGGGGTCGTGGGTTCGATTCCCACACGGCACAACTGTTTGCGCGACCCACGTATAGTTGTTTCGCATCTGGGTGTTTGTCCATGTGCAATTTCAGATTCATTGGGAATCACTCACTTCCTTTAACAGTCTGTCAAAACATGTAGCACATGTAACACGGACGTTTATTGTACTGCCAGTATATGGAAAACTGGCACAAAATAAAAAAAAACATAATAAGAGTCTATGTCAGGGTGAATGACCTGTCAAGAACATTTCAGAAAAATGTTCACACTTCGAAACCTACCCACATCATTTTTTGTCGTGTGAATATGCCATGTTTTGTATTTGTAAGGTACGCGGTACATTCATAAACCATTTGGTACAAAAAATATTGGTTATTCGAATATGTTTTTAAAATTTCGTAGCGACTGGTGTAACGTTGTAATTGTTACGTACATAATTTTTATTTATGGGGCGTAAACTATGAAGCACCCATTTCATTAGTTTCCCTGCCGTATGACGTATGAATGAGGAAGACTAACGCTAAAAATAAAAAAAAATCTTAAAAAAAGGTCATAATCGGTCCAAGTAACCCTAAAATTAATTGAGAAACTTTTAAGAACCAGATAAATAATATCATAAATAGATTAGAAAAATTCTGACTTCGATCTAGATGAGTTTCTCACTCACGGTGCAAAGTAACATCCTCTATTCATTCTGCGTATGGAGATTTTTCAGGAGCAACATACTTATCGACGGTAAATTTTTTTACAAAAGAAGTTTTTTTTATGGAGAAAGTGGCAAACGAGAAAGTGGCAAAAGTGGCAACGGCGATTCATCTGATCTTAAGTCATCGCCGCCCATGGACATTTGCAACACCCGTAGGGTTACAAATGCGTTGCTACCTCTCAATAAAGCGGGCCCCGGCTACCTCACTCACGAGACGAAAAGCGGAAGTGTAACACTAACTACTTTACGCCGGTCTTCTGTGAGGTCGTGGTATTCTGTGGTCTGCCTATTCGTGCTACAGTGAAAACTGTTGCATGTCCCTACCACAGTTAAAAAGTTAAGTTTTACGTTTATTTTCAATGAGTTCATACATAATACGGTAAATACGGTAATCGTTCGCTAGTAAGGTTTCATAAAAAATCATGAAGACATCATAAAAACTTTAAAAGTCATAAAAACGAAACCGTATCCAGTAAAACAATGGAAATCGTCGGCTACGTAGGTTTTCCTGGAAGGGCTCTATATATTATTGATTAAAATCAACACTACACTCCTTTTAGTTGAAACAGACCCACGTATTGTTCTGCAAAGTTTAAATCAATAATGTGTTTATATAAAACAATAAAAGCCCCGTGCCCCGTGCCCGATGTTTGCACAAGTGTTTCGCACTTGTTAAAATGTTTGCCGAAAGTCTGTCCAATGTTTGCCGTGGACAAACAGCTGTTCGGGTGACGCTGCAGAACCGTCAGGCCGTGACGTCACAGTTGTGTGAACACGACTCAAACATGGCCTAATGTAAACACTAATAATTATTACCAGTATTATCAGCCCTTATCAGTAGCTGATGTTGACCAAAGAAACGACTGGATGTCTTCGTTTGCTAAGAAGCCACGCGGAATTCCCTGGTAGAGGAATACACATCATATCATCACACGCTTTTAAATCTATGATTGGCGTTCAAAGTTTTTCATTAAGGACAATGTCAAAAGACAAGCTGATTTGTTGGGAAAGAAAAAATACGTGGTTATGTTCCACATCAGCAATTTGATCTTTTTTTTATTTAAAAGTTAGCAAACGAGCTGGCAGTTCACCCGATGTTAAGTGATTACCGCACATGGTCATCTACAACACCTGATGGGTTGCAGAAACATTGCCCCATTAAAAAAGTTTGCCCTGGTTACTTCATAAAGGGTGATTGAAGTAACCGACCTCTTTGAGGCGTGGTACTTCCCAGGACAAGCCTGCCCATTCGTGCAACAGCAAAGACAACCACAGTGCTGACTGCCAACGATGTCATGATATTTTTTGGATTTAATCTTTAACGCTCTTCTTGCGCGAGTGTGACAGTATTTTTTTTTACTTTCGTAGCATTTTACTATGGTAGACGACTCTACCACGTGTTTTACAAACACAAATTTCAAGCGGACAAACACCCAGATGCAAAACAACTATCTGTGGGCCACACAAATAGTTTTTAGGTCGGCACAACATGCCTTTTTCTTCCATTTACAGAATGAAGTACTAATAGCAGAAGGTGCTGCACGACTGCAGCACTCTGTACCTGTACCTCTGTATCTGTACCTCTGCTGTCGTCCCTCTGCTAGCGTTTATCCCTTAACATCAGGTGAACCACCAGTTAGTTTGCCACGTTCTCACATAAAAAAAAAGACTGTAATTGTGTCAGATTGCGACGCTTTACCTTCCGCCTCTTGAAGGAGAGAGTGCGCCTCCATATCTTCCTCAGCAGCACGGTCGGTTTGTACAAAAGGTCAGTGTCGCTCCGCCGCGTCGGCACCTCACTCATCACAGTCATCACTGTTCATCACACATTGTCACCCACTAACGCCTGTATTCACTATCATTGCTGAAAGTCCGAGTGTTGGCGCGCCGAATTATTGCGTAACTTCTTCCTTTGTACTTATAATTGAAACGGTTACTTGTTACTGACAACGCGACGGTTAGTGTTCGCTTGTTACCGACGCTTGGCAGTTGTTATAGCTTGTCTCGACGCTAAACTGTTACTGTTCGGTGCGTTGCGATATCGTTAAACATCTACCATTAACAGTACCTTACAGATTATTTAAATCCAATGTACGTATGACGTCTTCAATATTAGCATTGGATATACAATCTTTAGTAATATAAATAACCTTTTCGATGCCACCGTTGGTGGTGCTATATAATAATAAAAATTATTTGTAATTTCAAATTGCTATAGGACGGTAAGACGGTAAATTTTAAACCATTAACATAATCCGCGATTACTCTCTATCCCTTTACCTCTTTCGATTGATTCTATGTCGATTATTTCTGTCGATTAAAATTTATAACAGGGACTAGTCCAGTGCAATATTATGAAAGTTCACCTTGTTAGTGTACAAGCAACTCCTAAGAAAATAAAATCTCGGAAATAAAAGTTGGTGTCACGTGGATGACTACAAAAACAACACACACAAGAGACTGGTGTGTGTGTGAGGCCGGACTTAGAGTAAAGTTTACTTATTAAATTCCTTTTAAACATAGATATGAAGTATCTGGTGAGCTTACGCTCATCTCAACTATAACTCATGTATTAAATTAATATCTTTATTTGAATCTGTATATTTTAAATAACATTTTCAATAGTTAATTTATTTGCACTATTGATTACTTATTGATTTTTAACTAGTTTTGTATTCAGTGTGCAATAATAAGTCAAGTTTACCTTAATTGAGAATCCTATAAGTTAAAATAACATAACTTTAATACCATCAAGTCTAGGGTAGTAGGATGGTCTATTGCTGGCAAGATAATATAATTTTAAACATAATTTACGAAACATCATTATTATTCTAATATTAAATGTTAAAGTACATGTTTACATTTACAGAACGTACCCAGACAGCAGAGTTCCGCGTGGTAAAATTATAACTAGCCTCAAAGTAACAAACCTAACCTTGAGATATGACATTGTACACAAAATTGACACATTATTTATATATTTATTTATATCGC